TTATTTACATATCATGTAAGTCTGTATTGGGAGGAATCAATTCTTGAAATCAGTCACCAAATGACCCTACATATGACAGCCCTTTTGTGTACTAGCTTTTCTACAGTAACTAATATTTCATTACATGTTGATTACATTATTTCTTAAAACAATTCGAATAGTAAATAAGTTCACCTTAAATCAGCAACTATCTATGCTTTGAGATCTAGAACTTGTCATCCTGTGTACTGCAACTAAACCCTGCCGATTCTGTACACGGCTACATAAATATCAGAGCCAAGGCATAACAATTGTATTAACATAATATTATAGTTAGTCTATAACTAATAAATCAATGTTCACGTTCAGTTTCTTACTTCTCATACTAAGATTCTGATTTAACTCTTGAAATTTTACATTCAAAAAAGCCCACTGCACACCTATTGCTGTAACTAATAATTCCATAAACAATTTTCCAACTGTCCAGTGGCTTGAGTTATTTAATAAAACCCAATCTTAAATTCTGGTCCAAATAACTCCTGTTATTCCTATTATAACATAGAGCAGCTCACTTTCCAATGTTTGAAGTTATTTTGCTTCCTTTAAGAGATTTTGTTGACAATGTTGCTAATCACCAAAATTAACCAGTCTATCTTGAGCATCTTGCTCAGAAGATGAGGCTATCCAGGTGAATAGCCTCTGTCCAGGTAATGTACTTGCCCCCCTCCCAACCTACAGACTTGGAAATTGAAGAAAAATTACTGCCTTATTCTTAGTGCATAACACAGCCCACAAAATTCTCTAAATTGAATGCCACAGGTTTTCATCCACTACTCCTGATGTACTACCAGAGTATTCTGAGAGCTGCTTCCTGGAGAATCATCCGAAGTAGTGAACTCAACTTTGTACATCTCGCCGTTTATTTCGATGTAATCTCCAGAAGACAGATTCATCAGCTGTTCAGCAGAAAGCTGAATGTCTGAGGCAGCATCTCCAATGATGGTTTTCCCTCCCTGCGCCCCGCCAGTCACTGACACAGCAGTCACGACTAGAGGATCAGAGAGGCGATACCGCCTCCGAATATTGTACCACCAGCTGGAGCAAGCGCATTTGTATAGACCCCCACATACACAAAAGAAGGGACACAGCCACCAGTCTTATGCTTGACAAGCTGTAAAAATGCAATCAACAAGAATTTTCAAAATATGCAAAAAAATATATATAACTTAAAATGGTACAATCAAAGTTAAGGTNAGTGGCTGCAGGCATAGTTGGGACATTGTCTACCATAGGGGGAGCAGCACTCAGGGTGCCATCAGACTCAATGACCACATCCCCTGCCAGAGCCTGGAGACCCTGGATTGCTTCCACTGCCTCGTGGTGGACCACATTACTATCATAGGGTGACAAGGAGACGAACTGGCTCACAGTATGGCTATTTCTTCCTAGGATATTTGGAGAGTTGCTAATAACACCTGACACTTTCTGCTTACTCATGAGCGATCGGGCTAGGTCAGTCAGTTTGACACTCTTCTCTTTATTGGTAATAGGGTCTCTTTCAATGGCAACATTTTCCCCTGAAGTGCCTTCTTCATCTCTTTGGACTATGGTGATACAGCTGGAGTCATCCACCACACAGCTTGCAGTACCATCTTTCTTCAGAAATATAGAGATCTTGTGTTTCTTCTTCATGTGGTTGAACAAATTCCTGCGTTGCTTGTTGCGGTACTCGCACAACATGCAGGCATACGAGGTGTAGGGGTCATCATCTTCTTCTGTATCCATTACATTGTGTTTGCGCATGTGAATGAGAAGATTGTTCTTCTTGGAAGTTCTGAAATCACATATGACACAGGAATACACGCCTTCTTCATCCTGGGGGTGAACCTCCCCATGCATGGAGTGGACATGCTTGTACAAGTTTAACAGCTTGGCAAAGCTCATGGTGCAGTAGCTGCAAGCAAAAAGCTTATCAGCATTACTGTAGTCTGGAGGGTCGTACTTCTTGCGTGGCTTGCCATCGAGACTGGCATTCAAATCTGGCTTGGCTTCAAGGCTGTCTGGTGGGACCTCATTCACTGTCTCCACCTGGGGTTTGATTTTATCACTAGTGGCCTGTGTTTCTGCCTGTTGATCTACTTGTGTTTCTGCCTGCATTTCTGCCTGTGTTTCTGCTTGTGTTTCTGCCTGTTGATCTGCTTGTGTTTTTGCCTGTGGATCTGCTTGCAGATCTGCTTGTGGATCTAATTGTGGAGCTGCTTGCAGATCTGCTTGTGGATCTGAAGCAGAGGGCTGCTGGCTCTGGCTAGGATCAAGTTCTAATCCACTGATTGACTTCTTCCTAGATTTCACTGCTACACTGATGTTGTGCTTAGACCGCATGTGGCGATACACATGTTCTCGCTGAGTGGCACGATACTCACACAACCCACAGGCGTAAGGTTTCTCCTTGGTGTGAGTCAACTCATGGCGAAACAAACGGCTTTGTGCTTCAGTAACAAAGGAGCAATGGGAACAGTAGAATTTCAGCTCTGGGCCTTTCTTGTGAAATTTCATATGCTGCTTTAAATCTTTCCTTTTACTGGTGGTGAAATTACATATGTGACAGATGAAAGTGCCTTCCACTTCGTCCTTTGCCTCGTGCCTGCGTTTGATGTGCTGTTTCAGGTCGGGGTTCTCGTTAGCACAGGTGTAATCACAGTACGGGCAGGTGACTTTCTTTTCCTGAAAGAAAGCAAATAACTATAATTTATCACTCTATTCTTCTGTGCACATTTTTTCAAGATCCTTTTATAGTCTAAAAATCAAAGAATAGTTGAAATCTATAGCCATCTCCTTAAACAAAGTAGTGAAGATTACTTTCAACACACATAAAACATGTTTTGTGCACTTAAATTTTTTTATTCTATCACCTTTAATATTGAAATTGCACTATACTGTAAAATTTTTTCTACTTCCAACTTATGATTGCTTTTACTCAAATCATTAAGTATATATTCTTTACAATAACTGGCAAACATTTAACACCAGCAACAACAGTGATCAAGAGCAATATTTAAACAAACGGCAAAATAGGTGTTTCATTGCCTCTTGTATAATATCATTATGATGATTATCAAGTGCATGGTTTCTACATGTCATGCCTCATAGGTAGAAACACATGTTCAGTCCCTTTAGAAACACTTTACATTTTGATCATTTAAACACTGAAAGTTATAACATTACCTCATGCCTGTACTTGATGTGTCTCTCTAAGTGGATCTTCTGCCTGAAAGCCAGGCCACACTGCGTACACTTAAAATTCCTCTCATTAGTGTGCTGGGACATGTGGCGCTTCAGGTTGCTGCTGGTGGATGTCTTGTAGTTGCAGTGCTGGCAGACATGGGGCCGGGAGGCTACAGATTAAATGAATGAATATAACTGACATTGCATGAATGTAAGTACTGTAGAAAGTAATCACCGTATAACAATATTTCATAATATGTTCTGTCATTCTTCTTTAAGATACACTACACATTCTTATGCATAAACGACCAAGCAAAACTTACTCATATGTATTTTCCTGTGCTTGTAATAATTGGTCTTCTTGTTTGTGATATAATCACATTCTTGACATTTGTACATAAACATCCCATCCTTCAGTACCACATCCACATACACTGTGGTGTTCTAGAATAATGACAAGTATATTGAATTAGAACAGATATGTTCATATACCAGGGTTTTCCCAGGATTGGAGGTACAGGCTGTCCAAAATTACCATCTGTAATTTCTTACAAAATTTCAGGGAGTCCAAGTATGCCTGAAGCCATCATATTTCCAAAAAATCTATAAGCCGTCCAGCCGTCTTTGAAAATTTATATAGACCATCCACTGATGCTGGTGGCCATCCAAATGATGGCTGGACAGTTTGCTGGGAAAACCCTTGTCATCAACACAATGAGTAATCTTAGCCTTAAACTAACAAGGAGTGGTGTTTCTCTCCATGTCCACATTTACATGCCTCTTACACATAAACCTTTTTTGTCAGCTTTATTAGAACTTTTGACTGATAAAAACTTTTACATTATTTGGTTAATAAAATATGGCTTCATATTGAAAGACATGCCCTTTACTAACCTCCAACTCTTCTCCTGTCTCTTCCACCACCCCAGACCCCCCTTCCTTCCCCTGCTGCAGGCTGCTAGGCTTCACTATCACAATGTTGGGCCCCTTGCCAGCAGGCTGCATAATACGCGTCCCTTCAAAGGTCTCTACAATTGTTGCTGTTGCTGTCGTTGTTGCTGTCGTTGTTGTTGTAACAGGCACAGGGACATCAAGCTTCACACTGCTGTTTCCATAACTGTGGTCATTGGAATTTGATGGTTCACCTTTATGGGGTTCCACCAGTAATACTACTGAATTGTCAGCAGCGGCTCCATTGCTGGGCTCTGTTGAGAAGAGCACAAAATCAATGAAGTCACGTAAAGTAGATTTATGCCAAATAGGTAAATATACTGTATACACTATGGAAGAAAACAAGCTTAAATAGATCCCAAAACGTATCTTCAGATTTTTTCCGCATTAACTTTTTATTTACATAGATAACCCTTATTACTTATATTGGAGTTGCCAGCCTTTATATGCAATTAATAATGGACTTTGTTTTATCTTGTTTAAATTTAATTTTTTTTTTAATTAAATTTTGTTAGGATTTTAATTTAGTTAGGATATTAATTCTTTATATACCAAGATTAAAGCAAGTTTAAGATTTTCAAAGTAGAGCTGCTTGTGTTTCCTCATCTTCCTATAAATAAATCTAAAATCAGGAATTGCCAGACAGACCTCGAACTTCTGAATTCAAGTGCATTACACCCAGTTGTAACATTATGTAATACTGTAATAAAACTCAGTACAAGCTCTGTTCTGACCTATCAAACCTACCTAGAAGCTCCTGCTGAGGGTTCTCCTCTGCCACCCCCTCTTGCTGCACTGGAGCATTCCCTGTGATAGAACTGAGCACATCAGACAGTTCCTGCAATATGGCTGCCGTCTCAGCTGTCTGCTGCTCCATACTTATGGCCTCTGCTGCTTTGTCAACATCTTCTGGCTGAGCAGTTACTGAGACTTCTTGGACTTCTGCAGTATTTTCTGTCTGAGTGAGGGCCTCAGTTTCATCTTTTTTTGAGTCTTCTGGTTTAAATAGAATTTTTTTTTCAAAATAATTGTGAATGACTTAGGAAGATCCCTGTTGCTTTTCATTTAATTAACTACTATAACTTATATTTATTCAAAACATTAGTTTGTTTATTAATGTCACAATTTCCCTAATTTATCTCATAACATGAAATTTCCCAATACCACCTTATTTTATAAAGAGAAGACCCAATTGTTTATCTGTATCTTTAGATCACATTAACTGCAATATTAAAATGTACCTATCATCTTGACATGTATTTCCACAGTATCTACTACAGCACTAGGAACTGGTTCAACAGGAACACTTGCCAAAGCATCAACAGCCTGGTCACCTTTAGCAACAGACATCTCTTTTTTCCTAGAAAGAGATCATTCCAACGGTAGTTGAATGTTTTTTAATACTAAACATTTTAGAGAGAAACCTTTAACAAAAAAATTCAAAATTTATAAAATCAATAAACAATTTTTTTAATTAAAATTTAAATAAATACTGAAGTATTTACAGCAGAGAGAACATTTTTTTTTCTTTTGCTTTTATGAATGAAATATCATACAGGGAATTATCTTTTTTTACCTTCCTCCTCTTGCCATTCCTTCTTTGGTTTCTGGCGACTTTGCATCTTGGGCTGAAATTAAATAGATTTAAAAGTATTTTCATTTATATTACAAACCTTTAATTGCAAATTACGTTACTTCAATGGTCCACTAAAAAATTTCATCTATGCAAACATTTGGCTTCACTGAAGAACATAAAAACTAGGAAGAAATTATGAAAAATAATGTGTAACTTGATTATATAAATACCTGTTGTTGGTTTCTTTGCTGATTGCTGTGTAATTAACTCCACCTCCATGTCTTGGAATCTCTTACTCAAGACCCTTTTCCTGGAGGTCCTCCTCAGAGGGGATCCCAATGTATCAGACAAATCAGTTGAGTTTGAAGTTTCCATAGGCAAGGTTTTGGGAACCTGAGTTTGCATCTTACACTCATCTGTCTCTGTTAGAGGCTCCGTCTTTGCAGCTGACTTTTGGTTTGTGTCTGTCTGTTGCTCAGCTTGTTTCTGAACAGCATTTGACTTATCAGGCTTTTTGACAGGGCTGTTTCTTGTCTTTGGTGCTGTTACTTTTGCTTCCCTTGTGGTAGTTGCCTGTGCTCCAGATGTTGTGTTTCTTTTTGAGGATCTAAGAATAGTATAATAAATAAAAGCCAAATACTAGAAACTTAAACATCAAAAAGTGCAATTATCACCAATTTTTTGTTTTTGTAAATACAAAAGCACAGCGTAATAAATATAACATTGCAATAAAATTACCTTCCAACTTCAATTTTAGCCTGGTCACATTCTTTCTCAGACTTAACATCTTCCACAGACTTATGTCTTGTGCTTCTGGTGGGAGTCACAGCAACTTTCCCTACTTTAGTTCTTTTACTTGGAGGTGATGAAGTCTTGACATCTTCGACAGTTGAAGCACTGGCGGAACCCCGCTTTGACCTGGTTGTCATTGACATGGTTGTGGGCAAATGTCAGCCAATGCCTATATTAAAACAAAATGAACACATTATGATAATTCCTGTGACAGCACAATGTAACAAAAAAAATGATACAAGATTATGCTCTAACCTTCTGGCCAAAATATTAGAATAAAGACCTTTGAACATATTTACATGAATCATATCCTTCATTTATCTACCATTATCCACAGAAGTAGAGAAAACAAAACATGTAGGAGGGCGTAACATAAACGGGATATCAGTAGCACACCTTAACCACCAGATTATATCTGGTTTGATGAATTTTCTACAATTAATTAAACAAATATTAGAGGATTAAAATGAATTAAGTTTTAAGAAATAATCCATCAATGGATAAAGCAACGCGAACTGTTCTATTTGTCGATAACCTTGATCAACTGTGGCTCTCTGCAAACTCCCAGTTACGCACTCTAGGAATTCAAGCATTCGGCAGTTTATCCGTTGCTTAAGGACCTTGCACGGAATGCCTACACCTAAAATGATTGCTTTACAACCTTTTCAATTACTCGGTTTTAAGATTCTCTCCATCTAGGAGGTAAGAAAACATCGAATTCCATTTGTGATCTCCAGTGCATAAGAAGGCAATCTGTAAGCTTACCTTTGATCACGTCATGTACAGTCGTCCTTGGCTATCTTCAACACTGAAAGCGTGTCAGCAGTGGTTTTCCGGGTCAAAATATTCTTTTAATTCGCTGTTTTAAACCAAAAGTTGCCTTCATCAAGAAAAATACAATATGTCTTCCAATGCACGCGCTTGGAAGTACATCTTGATTGGTCAAATTTGTCAGTCCCTGGGAAGGCGGGAGAAGGTTTTCTTGGTATTTTATGAATAATTAACAAATTGTTTTCATTTTTGTATTCAACAGATATAAAAACCATGTATCTGCACCAATGACTTATCTAGTATTGCCAAAAAAGCCCAAAAATATCAGACCAACTTTCACAAAAGCCATCCAATCATTGAGCAGAACGAATTTAAGCCCGATTATTTACACCTTTACTTTGACCTACTTTTGATTCGCCGTGAAGCAGGTACCTGTTGCGTCGTGGTGTTGCGGACGGAATGTGATCTCAACATACTTTAAAGGTAAACAGATGGATTGTTTTGAAAAAGAAGTTCGCAGTTATAGCTTGTAATATATTTTGTATTTTTTTAATGTTAACATCGATGGCCTGTGTGTATTTTTATCGCATTTTAAGATAATTTTTATTACTCCAAATTATCTTTTTGTCCGACACTGGCTGCATGCACTGTTAGACTTGAGTAGCGCAGCATGGTTGGGTATACAAAAAATAACAAGCAGTGAAGTAGTATTGAGCTGGTGCTCGACATGCTTTGAAAATTGCACACTTGGAATTTTATAGTTAATCTTTTAAGGCAAATAAATTAAAGATATTTGATTATTATTATTATTATTATTATTAATTTATTTTCAATTATTTCCAAATTGAAATAAAATAAGTTTGATGCTTGATCATTCTTCAATTTGAAGTCCTTTGCAAGACTTTGTTAAGCTTTATGTAAAATACTTGTAATGAAAATTTCAAAAACGGAGATAATGCTCAGAGCATGTAATATGCTGACAAGAAATGTTGATGAAATTGGAGGGTTCAACTGTCTTATGATGCGAAGATTGCCATCAGATAACAAACAATGTGGGAAAATACACTTCTGAAAGCATGATAATATTATTATTTTTTATACAAACAATTTCATTTATTTTTAGTGAAGTTTCATTAGTTCATTGTATATAACCTATTCATATAATTTTGTGTTAGATTAAAAGACTTTTAAGTAGGCATTATAATTAGCTTTCATTTTATCTCGTTGGTTTTTTCTGTGGATTAGATTTTTACTGTGTATTGTTTAGGCAATCTGCAAAAAATGGGCAATTACTTTTCTGTAAGAGACATGTTTATGTTCCTATTGATTTTTTCTTGTTGGTATGCATTCAGTGCACTGACTTATATATAAATTCTGAGTTTTTTTTTTTTTTGTTCCAGGTTCGCCACAAACAACAAAATGGAAGTGCTGCATCACAGTTCTGTTTTCACTGTAGCTGCTTTCACAGTGTTATGTCTCTCTGGTTGGGGGATCAGTGCCCTGCCCAACCTCACCTGTCCCAAGGACCTGCCACAGGGGTGCTCATGTAACGACACCACAGCCACATTTACTTGCCGAAACACAAAATTTCAAAATGCCGATGTTCTAAAACAAGTGCCACTGAATGCAAGGACAGTTGTGTTCACTGGGAACAACATCCAAGAGCTTCCTATCAACGTAGTGGGAAACTGCTCCCATGACAGCACACTGCAGCATAAGAACTTAACCAGTCTGGATCTTTCCAATAACAGCATCAGAGTGATACCAGGCCAGTCATTCCATTGCATTCCTAATCTAAGAATCCTCACATTGAATGAAAACAACTGGATGCTGGACAACCACACGCGGGTGTTCAGCAATTTGGGCAGTTTAGAGACTTTGAACTTAAGGAATGCATTGCAGGATAATCCTAGCACACAGTATATGACTTTCATGCGTTTTATTTTGACTGATAGTAATATAATTCAGTTGAAATACTTGGATTTATCCAAGAATGAGATAGAAATTTTTCCCATTAATGCACAGGATATGTTGTGCAAGATCCCGAATCTCCAGTGGTTGGATCTGTCTAACAACAAGATTGGCTCAATAGGCACAATGAACCTGAATGTGACCTGCTCTAGCAAACTGAAACATCTTAATCTGACTCAGAATAATATCTCAGTGTTGAAGTCAGAATTCCTGACTGCTCTGAAAAAACTGCAGCTCACCAATGTATATCTTGGTAACAATCCATTTCTCTGTGATTGTGACTTACAGGATTTCTATAATTGGCTGAAGGTGAGTAACAGCAGTCACTTCGTTATTGACAAACAAACACTCCAATGTGAATTACCAATACAACTGGCTGATCACAAGATTTTAGATCTGACCCAGGGTGAACTGGTCTGCTCAGAGGACTTCCCTCAGAAGTCACTGCCTGGCTCCTATGTGGCACTTAGTGTGGTCTGTGGCATCCTGGGCGTACTGACACTAGCCGTTATCTACATGAACAGACACAAGGTCCAGGCATGCATGAAAAGGATGACCAAGCCATTCAGACTTACAGAAGACACCCACATCGGCTACGCAGCAGTGCAGACCTCTCAGACAGGACAGGTGTGATTGAGATATAGACAGTGTTGACTGTTCTCTTGCAGATTTCCTGTACATCTCAAAATATATGTAAAAGAGTATTTTATTTGTAATGAGGATAGATGTCATTGTGATATATATATATATACCTTAACTGTTAAAGCTAAATTTTAAAAGGTGGTGATGTTTTTTAAAACAGCATTTAAAACTGGAGTCTGCACCCTCTCTTTGAGTAGTTCCATCGTTTTTTATGTCAATTTAATGCATGCTCTATGTTTTTACTTGTCCAATGTAGATGTATAAAATATAGCATTTCAGTATTGAGGGTTAGAGCACTGCAATGAATTCTAATGGAACCTTGAATGGTATCTATTTGGTGATTGACATTTTTCAATAATTGGCTATTTGACTATTACCCATGATCATTTCATTATCTCAATCACATTTCTATCAACTAGTATTATTGAATCATTTTCATTGTGTACTTATGTGCCTATTTCTCAGAAAATTGCCATTTTGATATATTTGTCTGTGTCTAATAATCATGTTATTAGATGCCAGTCCTGAGTTTTATATTCTTGCAGATTATCGGCTGTTGGGGTCAACTAGCCTACTCTATGTACAGTACTTAAAACCATCGCCTTCCTTTTATTCATAGTTACCAATTACAATCAGTTATTTTTTCATTGGTATTTCTGCCATCTTACAAGAAAGTATCTGGATTAGATTGACACCAGATTGGGTACCATATAGATTGGAGTCTGTAAAAGGCAAGGTTTCAGTTTTTAAATGAACCTGGCAGCTGTATTGGGCTCTAAAACTTGGGGGGAAAAACATCCCTAATCTTAATTCAGAGTACAGGGTTGTCGTGATATTACCCTTCGCAACTATTGATTCTCAGTCATACTTTATAGTAGCTCATAAGAACAAGGCTAAAGAAATTGTCCTTAATTAATAAGTAAGGTTATGCCCTATCTGATGTCTTGGCAATAGACATTTACAGCTTGTAATTTTCTTTTCCTTTCATGCAAGCTCCAATACATGTGTGAAAATCTCTATATGCCATTGAGGTGTTTTATCATTATCATTTTTTATGCTGAGAAGTGTTGTGGTACATTTGTATTTATCACAGAGATTTGTGTTGATGAGGATTTTGCATGGCACTGTGTGTGTTGATTGTATTGCAAGGTGGAGAAAAACCTTTAAATCATGAATAATGTACATGTAGATAAATGTGCTGTTTTGGAATACAGAGATGCTGTGATTTTTATGTATTGATTTGAAATCTACCTTTATATATATGTATATATATATATACATGCTTTAATGTTAAGAAATATAATTGTTATTGTCATGGTTAATGTAGATTAGTGTAAATATGCTGTTCTTAACCAAAAATATTAACTTATGACTTTATAAGCAACATTTTAACCTTTTTATTTAATGGGAGGGGTTAAAAGTATTATAAATGCATTTGTCACTTGTTTGAGTATTGAGCCATCAGAAGTATTTAAACATGAATCCTGTTAGATCAATCCATCTTTAGATCACAACTGACATGTTTTGAGAATGAAGAGTAAAATTTTTAGAAAGATCTCTGTAGTTTTTTCATCAAAGACTAATATTATAGCTATTATCTTTGTCCAATTCCTTGATTGGTCAATTGGCATCACATCCCAAGTTGAAAAGATGCTGAATTGAAGGATATGATAGTTTAGACAGTAATCAGCATTATGGGAATGTTTATATTTTACCATTCAGTGCTTGTATCGTGCCCCTGTGCACACTCCAGGCAAATGATAAATACCCAACAGATAACATTCAAATGCATGAAGTAGGATAGCATAATATCAAGCAACTTTGGGGATATTATCTTTTTCATTGGTTGATGGAAAATACCACGGAACAATTGTAATCTGTGTTTAGGGAATAATGGGAAGTTAGAAATTCATGAAACAGTAGCTAATCACATAGTACCATATCTGCCCCATGAGACTAATATGTCAATATAAGATAATTGTGTAATCATGTTGCAGTTGTTGGAATACTTAAGAGGACAAAAAAAGATTAAGCAGAAGTAGCTATAGAGAAATTGACAACAGCATTGCAAATATGCAAAGCGTAGTTCTGTAGTTATACATTTTTTTTTCAATAGCAAAAATGAAAAATGTTATTTTGTATATAAGTGTATGGCACACCATGTATTCAAGAGTGACTTTTAATTGTTTTGTTATGCATTGTTTGGTGTAATAGGACATTTTACTTTCATTTTTGCTTTAGAATTTGTGAAGCACAAGATCTTTAAAAGACAATATATTTACTCCAATGTTGCTTGTCTTCCTTTAAGAATAAACTGAATGCTAATTTTTTATTAATTCATGGTTTGTCTGATCTTGTGTTATGTTTGTTCTTTTTACGGTGTCTTTTGTATATTTCTGTCCTTGAACCCCCTACCTCAGTCTTTTTACGGTCATCTCTTCTCATTTGTTATCACATGATAATAAAACTACAATACACTAGAACTTATTACACAAACTCAACAAATACAAACAAGAACCCCAGTAAATGATAACAAAACATTCCTGTATTGTAGCTTAACGTCATAATTTGAGCTTGGATTTAAAGATAACATTATTGTTGACTAATGCACCTAAAGCTTTAGAATGTATGTGGGAGCGTGTCCACATCACTGATTAAAAATCACTTTGCAGTCTGAACTCATTCTGCTGCAGGTTAATATGTATTGCTCATATTCTAATCTGCTCACTGGCAAATGTATTTGGGATAGGCATTGATCTTCACAAATTAATTGCGTGATACATATCAATTCATAATAGGTTTTAAAAAAATGAGTACATTTGAAATCTTAATGAGTTTCATCCATTTTCTGCTTTTGATAAATTCAGTGTGTTTTCTGATCAATGTTTTAGTACAAACACATTCTTTTTGCAAAAATCATAAAAATAAGTAATGCTCAAGTAATCCAACAGTTTTTATTTTATCATAAATTTCATTAGCTTGAGGAAACTACCCTGGTAATGTGTGGGTTAGAAAATGCTCTGAGCTATCTTTGCATGTCACTTATGCTTGACAAAAAGCATCAACTAGTTGAAAGTTAATGGTTCATAAGTCCCAAGTGTACTGTATTCTCCAGATCGCCTCCTAACAGGGCATTTTCCTTTTAACTGTTTGCTTTACTATAGCCTCTTCTGCAAGTCAAACATGGTTATCTAATGTATTTGTACATCATACAACTGTCAGACATGTCCTAACCTCTTCTGCAGGTTCTACACCCAAAGCTTCCAAAATATATACACAATAGCCTTTTCCCTCAATGTACAAAAGCGCCATTACATTTCAATGAAAAAGCTACCTGTGTCAAATAAATTGTGAATTATGTCAACATCCAGTCAGTGCAGGTTATGTATTCAAATATTTTTGAACATGAAAACAGCTTGCTGTTATCTTTACTTTGGTATATTATAACAGGCTTGTTGTGACAGGCAGACATATGTGAAGTTTCATTATTTCACCCTGCAAAAGAGAGTAAACGGGCAACAAGAGCTGGTAATATTTGCAGTAGAACACCTGGAACCAATAATAATATTGCAAATAGCAGTGATAGGTGAGATAAAGTGGATAGTAAATGGGCAGAGGAACTGTATCTAAGATGTATTCACAGTGAAGTTCTTACACACACTGACACTTACAAGCTGAGTGTCAGACGGCACATGGTGTACAGACGTCACTACACATTCCACACTGGAAAGTGCACCCCCTCTTCTCATAAAGAAACTCCAACACAGTAGTTGATTATTTTATTTACAGACCATAAGTATGCACCCCTCGTAAAGATGTAATCTTGAATCGATGAAAAGAAACCACAATTACCAAGGGCAAGTATGTTTTATCTTAGACTATGAAAAATGAAGCTACTATGGAATATAATGTTTTTTTTTTATATTGGCCCAGTACATATTGCTGAAGAATGTCTGCAAGCTGGTTAAGGGGCAGCTCTTGTACATTGCCGTGTAATTGAGGGTAATTTTGGAGACAGTAAAGCAAAATAATAGAATAAATATATACAATGGTGATTCATATGCAGCTTTACACATCTGTTGGTTGCAAATATCAATCACAAAGTCTGCCCACATCAAACTGATTTTTCATTATTAATAACCATATTGCAGCAAAATAAATTTGCAGCCATGTTATTTGCAAGTCAACTCAGACATGGAATTGGAGACTAGTGCCAGGTTAAAAACAGGTTACATCATTTCAATATAATTTTGCATCCTTGTTCACCACCCAAAAGTCTTGCAAATACCTTGCTCAATAGATTATCTTGGCAAATTAATTTTGTATTCAGGGAATATTTGTGATATAAATGTAAGTAATGTACTTTCGTGACATCAAAATTATAATGTGATTTTAGGACCACATAAAAAGGTCATGAGACCACAGAACCATATTTTTTGCACATTCATCTTCAGTAAAACTGCATCATTGGGGCAGGGTATTACAAAAGCATAACTTGTGAAACTTTTACTTATACCTTTATCCTCACAATGGCTATGTTATGTGTGAAACAATCAAGCAAAAGGTTTGCAATACTGGTAAGCACATGATAAATGTCACAATAAAAATCATTACTGCAGCCAATTTGAAGAAAAACTTCCTTTTCATGTTTAGAAATTCAGATGAATACAGCTACCCAAAATTTTTTCCATAAATTGCTGTTGGAAACTTAAAGTGACCACTACCAATCTCAATTTACATTTAAGGCCCATGATTTACACCATAGAGATTAATGGAAAAGTTTTCAAGTCGGGATACTTGGAACTTCATTCGTACAACTATTAGTAAGTAGCATCAATTTATTTGCAACCAGTAGTAAAAGATGTTATATTCAACATAAGTACCTCCTTGGTATAACAAATAACAATGAATATTATTGTTGAACGTCCAGGACCATCAAATTATTGAAGTGAAAAACAAATCCATCCAAGTTTTAATTCATGTACAAATGTTTGGATTTATTTCATTGTTTTTCCCAAGTATACAGATTTCAATTCTAATATTAAACTTCTTCACAAAATGGAAGAACCAATACCAGTTTTGTTGATATTTTGCCCATTAATCTTCTTTAAAAATTTTAACTACACACAACCTCAGGTAATATTAGTTGCAGTAGTCAAATATTCATCTCTACCAATTAGTAGCACACAATATTTGTCATGAAACCACTGGCTACATTTATAGCTTAGTAAATCATGATTATGAAAACTATTTTATACACCGGCTGTTGCAACAGTGTGCTATCATTATTTCGTCATTTAGAGATGTAAATTCTTGCATAAATGGTGGGAAAAACAATCCATTCTCATAAGCTCTGTGCCTCAAAAGTATTATATTTGCCTGAGGCACTTGCTTTGAAATGACAATTACCATAGAAATAACTGTACAAAATATTGTAAATACTGCAAATGGGAATGCATCGAGTTTAAAAATCCAATTTCACGTCCAATTCAAATCTAAGGCATGATGAGTGACCCAGAAAAGAAATGAACCAACTATTTCTGTTTAATATAAGCATATTACTATATATTAATTAACACTTCACTGAGCATATGGAATTTGGAAGCATAATTTATATAAATATGTAACGATACAATAATCTGTAAATGAAAATATTTTATCTTAGCTGGTAAAGCAGTTAATCTGTAAAGTTCAATTCTAATTTACCTCTACAGTTACTTGGATTGAGTAGCTTTTTGAAATTTATAAAAATGGTTGGCTGCTGTAATTGTTTCCATTTGTTGCTTTGTAATAATACACAGCATATCTGTCCAGTTTGATCAGCAATGGAATAAAGTGGTTTCCCTTAAAATATTATTTACAAAATGTATATTTTTTTATTCCTGAAGTTCCACATAATTTGCTGGAAAAAGTCCAGATTTGCCATTAAACTCTCCTTTCCACCATCCTTCATCAATCTGAAATGTAAAAATAACCACATACAAAACAATATACTGAATACCAAACCAATGTTACATCATCTTACTAATTTACAGAACAAAATTAATAAATCAATGTTTTTCCACTGTTTTCTTGCCATAATAAAGGATTCAATATCTACTATAATGATTAAAAATTTCTTGACTGTAATTATCTACATTACCTTCTTTGGTTTATGACTTTCAAATACCAATGGTCTTGCTCATACTTAACTAACTACTTCATTCATAAAATGAAAAGTCTTATCTTTTAATATGTGCATATGCAAAACTAAGTTAAGATATCATTTCTTGTATTCATTACTTACCATTTCAATATTTGTAATAATATCATCTGGATCAAATGTTAGTTCATCATCATCCGCTGTAATAGAAAAGACAATTTTGTCAATCTAATTGTTGACATATTGTTGCAAACATGTAACAAGAAATACATAATTTCAGTTATGGGTCTTCCACAAAAAGACTGAGTCGCATAAATTTGTATAATATTTCTGTTCTATAATCATATCACTTCAATTACTGTTAATATATTTCCACATTGGAGGGTACCATAGTACAAACCAACAAATATAATGGGGCATGTCAGAATAATGAAAATATAACACAAAATGTGTGCATCATTGAGAGTAACTTTTTTGTGAAATGACCATTATATGATTGTATCTAAATAGAATGCTAAATTGATTAAATACATGCAGTATCATTCAAATTACCTGCTTGGTAATCATACAATGCAACAGCTGTGCGACCCTTCCCAGCTGCACTTGGCACATTGTCTGGTGGTGCTTCGTAATTGTTGTCTTCTTCCTCTTCTTCCTGATAGACAGGTTCTGGCTCTCGTTTCTGGGGTACTTCTTCAGCCTCGTTGTACACTGGCTCTGGCTCGTAGCTGGGCTGCCCTGCCTCTTGGTATTCCGACTCTTCTGGTTCATAACTGGGTTGCTGGACAGGTTCTGGTTCATACACAGGTTCTGGGGCTTCCTCTTCTTCTGGCTCTTCCATTGGTGGCTCCTGTTGTTGTTCTTGCTCGCGTCTCCTTGCCTCCTCTTCTCGTTCTCTTGCTCGCCTTTCCTATGGTAAAAAACAACACAATAAAGGTTTCTTTCAATTCGTTGTATATATTTTAAATACTGCTCACCCAACCCCCGTCAAAGTACCAAGAAAATGTCAAATATTTAAACCAAGTATGAAGATGAAAAGGAAATTACCATGAACAATAAATAACAGTTGACAAATGAATCTGTTCACCAGTTCTAACATCAACTACCAATCTTGATTACTGATATCTGCAGTCAGGCTGACATCCAGCGGATATACACTGCCTACTGTGACAGTTTTAACATTAAAATGACCATGACAGAATTTTTATTAATTACATGTAAATTACATATTCCATGAAGATGAATTATTATTTATTACTTAAAATGAAGATGTTCTTTAAGTTGGAGCTGTGGTTTAAAAACATTTTCCTTAACCCCTGGTAGCAGTTGAAGCTTTCAAAGACAATTACAACTGCCTTATAACAACATTTTGTTTCTGTTATACATAAAGAACCCACCTCCTCTTTTTTCTTTTGTTCCTCTCTTTCCCTCGCTTCCCTTGCCTCTCTTCTTGCTCTCTCTTCTTCTGCTCTTTTCCTAGACTCTTCATCATTTTGTTTAGCTAGATTTTCAAATCTAGCTTTAAGACTTTTAGCACCATCTGAACCTAATAAACAACAACAACTGTCATTCATTTCTCTTTATATCTTTAAATGTCATCACATATACTGCAAATAAGTTACATAATATACAACTGGTGTAACAGTGAAGCTCTAGATACTTTTTATTGGCTTAAATGCCTTTTATGATGGTGCCAAAAAAATCAACATCCCCAAAAAAATACCAGCTACATTATTTCAACTTACTCCCAGTTCCTTTCTGTTTCTGATACCCAGAAGTTGGTCCTTTCATATCTTCAAAGGATCCAGCAGACTGAAATCAAAATACACACCATACAGATTATCAAACATATTCAAAGACTAAATCATAATGCAAGCACAAAATACACAAACACACTTTACATGTAAACCATAAAATAACCCACATTCGTTCATTCATGATATTTATAACATGGCATTGCATTACATAGAATTTATGCAGTCACAAAGTAACCACAAACCTGATCTTTTCTGTCTGCCTGCACTCCAAATTTGCCCCCATAGCCTTGTTTAGCCTCAGTTTGCGATGGATGCAATTCTGTTTTACTGACATCATCAAAACCCTTGGCAGACTTATCTTGTCTATCTGTCTGGACTCCATATTTACCCCCAAATCCAGTGGAATAATCTACACAAAATTACAAAAAAATGTCTGTTTTCATCGTATATAACCAACATAAGAACAGTTATCCTGAAATACATATTTTTTTCAAAATAATATTTTTTAAATCAAAAAATGAAAATTTCTTTCATATGCATAAATGATATTAGTTGCACTTGAAAATCAGAAAAAAAATATCAAAAATACTCCATAAAACATCATTTCATTTGTGTTCAGAGTTTTGTAGAACATCTTCACCATTCATTCATTGATTTTCATACCCTTCTGAGAGGCATGCTGTGCAAGTTTCTCTTGATGCTCATAACCCAGAGCCGATGCATCAACCCTGTCTTTTTGGATGCCATATTTACCACCAAAACCTGTTGCATAATCTGTAATCCAAACAATTATCTTTACAGATCAAAAGGGCAAATCATAATTCAATAATCAGGATGAGGATTCATTAATTTATTGCCACTATTTTCTGCTGCCAATCATTTCATTTGCCACATGACTATAATTAAATAATTTCCAGAAATCAATAACATCATTTTACCATTGCAGTAATCAAATGCACTGATCAATTCTCATAATTAATTTATTTATTTGTATCAATGTGATACAAGGTAAATTTGAAGGATAATGATTGTCTTGATTGTCACCTTTCTGTGAGGCGTGTTTGGCCAGTTTTTCCTGGTGTTCCCAACCCAGTGCTGATTTGTCAACTCTATCTGTTTGTACACCAAACTTTCCTCCATAACCTGCTGCACTATCTAAATAAATCACGTCCAATTCACAGGTAAATTTAACAATTTCAAACTTTCATACTGTTATGGTGCTTATTCAAAAAATAATTCAAAATATCAACGACTCACTCAAGAGATATACAATCTTCTAACAAAATAGCAATGTGCAGGTGAAAATGGTGAAAATAAATCACTACCACTTAATGTAAAAGGATGAGGTTAAAAAGAGTGCTCAAAATCAAGAGGACACTTTTTGTAAATTTTGAACGCTATTCTACCTTTCTGTGATTCATGTTTTTCTGTTTTGCCTTCATAATCCCAGCCAACAGCAGCCTAAAAATCAAATCACGTGTTACAATGATGACTGTTTTTGAAATTATTATTGTAATTGCACAAGAAGAGATAACATTTAACATCTACCTCAGCAATCTGTAATCAAATATTCATATCCCTTGTCATGGGTTAAATGAAATGTTCTATGGTTTTACCTTGTCTACCCTATCTTTTTGTACTCCAAACTTGCCTCCAAAACCTGTTGTATAATCTGAAAAAAAAATTAAATGTGAACAGTAATTTCAAATATATAATTTTATAACAAGTTGTACAGTCATATTTTGTAATGTATCTTACTTTTAAACATTTAACACTATCTAACTTAAAATGCTGTTTTGAAACAAGTGGAAAAATAACTAATTACCACTCGAAAATGTCAAAATGATATCAATAAACAGGACAATTTTCTCACCTTTCTGTGACGCATGTTTAGCAGTCTTTCCTTCGTATTCAAAACCAACAGCAGCCTTAAATAGCACAAAAATGTATTAATATTTCCACCTACATGTTTGGATAAAAAGCATGCAATTTCCTGCATTTTTTTCCTGGTATAATGCATCTATGATACATATTTCAAATATCTTATTCTTGTCTAACATTAATAAAAGAAAAAATTCTAGAAATACACTTTTTTTTTGTTCTACCAGAAAGACTCACCTCTGTCTTGATGAGAAAATAATCATGCACAAGATTTTTAATTTATCTGTGAAGCATTCAAAAATTGAAGTCAACAAAAATTCTGAATCATCCTTGCAAATGCTTCTAGAGACCACCACTAAAATCACTAATTTTACACAGACATAGACAAGACTATATTTGAATAATTAGCTGTTAAAAGTGAAACCACTTTACAAACTTAGTTACGGTACCAGGATACTATAGTATCATGAAGACAAATTCAACACAGAATGTTGGCTCAACAGCACCAGTTGTCAAGGTCTATATAACAACTTCTAACATGCAAACCAATGTCAGTAAAGGGTCTCACTTTATCTTTTCTATCTGCTTGAACACCAAATTTGCCACCAAATCCTTTGGATGCATCAGTTTGGCTGGAATGTTTGGCTAAACTTGCTGTATATTCATGCCCCACTGCAGCCTGCAGAACAGGAAACTCCATAGGTCAACATGCTGAACACTATAATACCAACACCATGGAACACAAAACATTTCTCCCCCCATGCATGGCCAATATGAGCCAAACAAATATTAAAAAGCAAACATAATGATATTGAATTGGATATCTATCTTTCCTAAAAAAAGACTGTCCATTTTTTTTCTTTTTAGAAAATCAAGAATGAAATATTTAGAAAATCCAAATTTACTGAAAGAATGAATCACATGATGGTTATAAACTGATTTAACTGTATTTGTAATTTTGTCGATGATCAAATACTGAAGTTTTGCTGAAACAAAAAACAAACCAAGAATTCAAAATTGTCACGTTACATAAAAAACCATACCCAGAATTTACTCAACAGCCAATATCACACTGGCTTACATTACTGTACATGTAACATTAAAAAAAAAGAAATACCATCCCTACATTTAAATTATGAAAGCATGATCGATTATGCTGTGATTGTATCAAGAAATAATAAATTTTAGATATCCAAGTATGACTGGCTTACACATTCAGAACCTTCCTGTATATATGAGGCATTTCAAAACAGCATTCCTCAATGCCATGCAGGGTAACAGCATGTGTAAACTAGTGTATAAACTAAAGCACATAATGAAGGACAAAAAGCTATTTCTGAAAATGTGCAAGGAAGTGAAACCCAACAATATAAAGGAAACAGCTCTCAAAAGTCATAAATTAGTTTGTTAATGTTTTAACAAATGAAATGTTTGTTAAGTGATGACAACAGTGTCAACTGTACTGAACATATCAACAATATCAATAACTGTCGGCCACAATCTTACTTTGTCCATTCGATCGGTCTGGACTCCATGCTGACCGCCATAACCATAGGATGCTTTTGGACCTGCATCATACTGCTGTTTCTTAAATGTGGTGTCATCAGTTTGTACCTCCTGTCTAAGCTGCTTCAAACTGTATGAATAATACATAGCATTCACCAATAAGTTTTGAATAAATAACAGAAAAATGTTATGTGAAGTGGTAACATCATTTTAACTTCATTCCACACTTGAGCATTTAATAAAAGATGAAGCACTAAAACAACCAGTTATCAGAATGTTTTTCTTTTGTTCTCTTTGTTTTTACTACATTTTCAGTAATAATCTTAAGACCATGACCACAACACTGTTCACTCAATATACAAATCTATAGGCCACTAACAATGCAGGCNAATCTCACACAACATACCAGACTGATATTACACACAGATAAATGTTTACAATTAGTAACACTCTACAAATTTCAGTAATTAAAATCTTACTCAATGGAACCTTGGTGACCCGACCCCTCAATAGTTTTTGCACCCCATCGTTGTTCTTGCTCACTGACATCATTCTGAAGACACAAAGGAAATTTCAACATTTAATTTAATAGTATGATATATGAAATTAAAATACTAGTATGAATAAACCATTTGCAGATGATAAATGTAAAGTCCTTGAGATGACATCACAGAGGACATGAATACAAGGGCTTTTCAGCTCTTCCTTGCCATTTAAGCTTGTTTGCGAAAGGAGTAAGAGCCTCTCTTAACCCCCCCCCCCCCGCCCTTTTGAGTCAAAATGGTGATTTGAAGTATTGTAATAAGAAATACATTTAGATGAAACATGACTAAGGTAAGCAAAACACATTGCCTTTGTAATAACTTTGTCTTATTATGCCGAAAAAAAAGCTCTCAAATAAGCATTGCAGTGTACTGTACGCAGTTATCAAGACCTACTGACAAAGTAATCCAACTTGTTTGTTGTAATTTATATCATTGTCCTCTATATCTGTAATGTCATTTTAAGGATGCTTTTTTGACTTCAAAATCTGCTATTAGTAATAGCCTGTTTCTGTCTAAACTCTCATAATTAATAATGTAAAACAAAGAAGACTGTAACATACAAAAAAAGCTGTAACAGAGGTAAAATTTTAGTATTTTGATAAGATAAATACATAAGGGTAGTCTAGAGAAGATCTGAACTTGCTAAAGCTTCGCTTACTTAAAAGACATGAGGTGCATAATCAGTAAGTAAATTCTTAGCTTCACAGCTCAAGAAAACAATGTTATCTGAGATTTCACAATGATAACACTGTTGACAAGTGTAATGGTGCTATAACATGCAAACAGGAAGAGATTTTAAATTATAAATTTATGCAAATTAATGTGACTTGACGTCCATTTCTGATACATTGTGTATTAATTTTTGTGTACAACAAACAAATAACATTCTTTGATTTTTTTCTTATATTCAGCAATCTCAAGATATGTTTGATTGCTAAAGCATACTTAAGGGAAATTTATAGTCAACCTACCACAAAATCTGGGTCAGTCTCCCAGTCATCATCATCATCATTAGCAACAGTTTTGATGTCCACTCCAGCCCTCCACATCTTGTCACTGTGAGTTTGATCTCCAGACTAAAATAAATCAAATCTTGAGTTAAATGTTTGGAAATTCTGCATATCTCCTCTTTGAGAGTGACAGGTTATATGTAACCCAATAAAACTGAATATACACTATACAACAAACAATAAATAAAGTTTTTGTTTACACAAACAATACTGGTAGATGTGTGTTGTGCAGCCCATTTTCTACTAAACATGAAGTGGAGTTAGAGGTATAAAGACCAGGGCTAAGACAGGTTGCTCTCTCTATAATAACATTCACTTCTTGTGAAGTCACAGCACTAAATGTATGTACCAGTACAGTGCAGTACAAATTAATTAAGCTATCCTACAACTAAATGGCAAAACAATATAAACTATGACCCCTGTACCTTTACCTAATGAACATTAAAACATATATTTATATCATTTTAAAAGCCGACAAACAATCTAAATTTAGTGACCAACAATCATTAACTGAGTCAGTGACTAAATGATTCATTCATTCAAGAGACAGACTTGAATGTTAAACACACCACCCGGTGTACCAAACACTTCCTCACTATAATCGCCATAAGCCGTGTATAAATCAAAATTTCGATACAATATGCAAGTGGGAGCGATTTAAAGAAGCCATCTGTTCATACTATTCCATGCAATTTGAACATTCAAATGCGTTTAATTAAAACACGTCGACTTTACTTACTCTTACCGTGTTCAATCCAACGACCACACTTCCTTATTGCTGTCACGTGATCGACAGTACTTCCGCAGTTTCTTTAGACAGAGATTGTAATTTTGTATAACTTTGATTTACTGGGATTATCTATTCTTAACTTTAATATGAACACTATTTTTCCCAAAATAGATAAATACCAAAATATTACGGGCTTTGTTGAGTAACCGCCCACTTCGAACTACTTGAAGCGATTTACTGGCGCCACCTACAATCATCAAGATAAGCTCGTGCAGCACCAGGCTGCTCCTCTGACTACAGCACATTGCAACAGGTGCGTTATAATAATGTTATGTTTATAGAGCTGATTGAGTCTAGATGTGATAAGCTTTGTACAGTTGAACATCGGTATGGACGTCACACATCGTCAGTGACCTGAAGGTGGGATTATCTTAAGGGATTATCTGAAGGGGAATATCTGGGCCACAAAGACGTTTTTTCTCTCAGGATTAGAGGTCTTGCAGGAGATGTGCGCCGGAGAAATCTGACTAGCGACACAACAACAATATCATTGCGTTTTGCAACAACTGAAAGCATAGTAATCGGAGTCGACAAAAAGAAATTTACACATGCTCGGAGCTTTTGCAGTGAACAATTAAACCACAAGTTTACGTAAGTCTGCAAAAGGTATTTTTCTATGAGTAAATGGTGTGCATTAATGTCTGCTTTCAGGAGTAGGATATTTGTGTATGCCTTTGTCACTGTAGTGTATGTTTTTTCGCCAGCTGAACCATTGTAGTTCTCAACACTGGTACTAATGGAAGTACAGGTAAAAGAGACTTGCTGACTCGCCTTTTATAGGCCTACCCTGAGACTCCCAACAAAAAAGTAGGCCTACGTACTGTACTTTATATATATATATATATATATATATATATATATATATATATATATATATATTGATTTAATTGATTTTAATTGGTTTTCATTGTTTATCTTTAGATTTAAAAGATTGATGTTTTTTTAACAGTAAGCTCCATTGTTTTCTGTATAACTTTTCAGTTTGATTTTGAATTGTGTTGACTTGAATGACTTGAATCGATGTAATACAGTATATAGGGCCGACCAAATGACTTGATTGAAGCCAAAAAGTTCAAAAGCACAGTTTACTTTATTTTATTACCTCTGTCAAGGAGTTTGTTTTACCCTAAACTGTTGGTTTGTTAGTAAAGAGCATAATTAACTAAAAAAACTTATAAGGATGTGTTGTGACAAAATGTTTGGGATGGTCATTAATAGGTTGTATATGGGCTAGATCTTAAATCAATCAGATTTTTGGTGGTGGTTCATTAAAATTAATATAAAATGAGCTGTCTTGGCAGAGGTCTTTTCTGTTATTTGATATATTTATTGTGGTTAGCCCAAACCGCATATATCATAATTAAGGTTCTTATTACCAAAGTCGAATGGCTAATTGATATGATTCTTTTTTGTTCATAAGGACATGGAATTAAGTAATATGCTGGTATTGAAGGATAAAATTCCTGAATTTGTTGATTTTTAATGCATACATTTTTTAAATTTTTCTTTCAAATGTCCATTGCAGCTACATTTTTATCAGTCTTTAAGAGAGGTTTCATAGTATAAATTACGAGGGTTTATTAATCTGGAATAAACAAGTGATTAATTGCTGTCTGAATAGGATGGATCTTTTGTTCTTGACACTTGTCATTGTATATTAACAAACCAACTCTAAGACCAGTGGTCATTACTGACACTAATTAGGTTATCCATTGCATGGGCATAATTCTAGTTGTCTTCATTCCTGCAAATGTATTACTTATGATCTATATGAATTATAGTTGATATTCTAGTCTACTTTATCATGAACACTTGGAGAATTTATGATTCCCTGTTGTTATTATAGAAACATCTTGAGTAGTTTTCCTTCATTTGGAGACAGGTAATATGCAGGTCTGGTAAATAATAGATATCATGAGGATAGAGGTAACTGATATTTTGATTGCTTGGCTGAACTTAAAAAGAAAATTGAGGTGAGATATTGATAGTGAACACTAACCTTTGTGAAAGCCATAGGGAGCCAATTATTGGCATGAAATGCTCAATAAATCTGATTTTTCTTTATTTTCTTATGTCAGGACTTCCTCATTTATTCCTTCACTGGAAGAACTGTATCCAACTGGGTATGTCAATTTTTTTAGTCCTCAAATTATTTCTTTACCATCCCTCCATTGCTTTGCCTGATTTAAAGGTTTGATGGTTTTTATACTAACAGAGTCTAGATGATGTAGAAATGATATGCTGGCCTTTTACACAGTTGATCAATTACAAAACTCTTAATTTTGATAAGAAAAGCCCCCTTTGAAAAATACTATTCATAAAATAAAGAGGGATAAAAACAACAAAAATAAAATGGTGTGCCTAATTCAAGCAGTGGATGGAGGCTGCGATATCTATTTTCTCCCTGCCTGTTCCTGTCACCATACCAGTTGTTTGATGATAAATGTGAGAATTCTCATCTTACAGTGCTTCCTTGAGAAAACAATTTTCTGGGACAATTGATTTAAATGTCACGATTTCTTGGAAAACTCTTTTATATTGCATGCTTGCCATGATCAATCTTTTTAAATGATTTGACGCATTCCTCTGTTGTTTGAGTTTCCTTGGGCAAATTTATACTTCATTCTTGAAATAAAAAGATGTTAGTAAATAAGAAGTCATCTGAATTAATTAGTTTTTCTTAACTTGGTTTTTAAAACGGGCTATAATCAAATAGTGTTGATTGATAAATTGCCAGTTCTCTTTCATCCTAATGTTAATTTGGCTGTGTATATTGCAAATAAAAGTTTACATAATTATTAAAGTTTTTTGTTTTGGCAAATTTTGTAAACTGTATAGCTTTCACTTAAAATCTTAAATAAAATTATGAATTCAATATTTAAATAGATCGAATTGCTGAGGACATTTCAGGGCTTGAGATAAAACTATTTTCAGGCACTTGACATTTGAGAATCTATTTCATTGCTACTTTTCTCTCCAAAATTGATATTTTTAAAAAACTTGGGAAGGGAGATTCAGATATTGGTGGTGGAGTTAGTTGAGCATTTATATCAACTTAGTATGAAGCTCAACTGAGTAAAGTGACCAAACCAGTCTGAAGTGTAGTTATGCATATCACATCACAGTAATCAACTAGTAAGGAACAGACAAAGAACCAGACAGATTGACATCTCCTGAACACCAACAGGTTCATTAGAAGTTACCTTAACAATTAACTCATACACTAGGCTATTTAATTGTACTGACAGGGTGTAGCACTAGCACTTATTTTATATACTTAGATTGGACACCAATATTATCTTTATGGGTGAAAGATCTAATAAATTGAAATTGAAGTAAATTGAATAGGTGAAAGATTACTGGAATAATTATGTAAGTTAGAATGATTGCAAGTCAGGTGACCCCTGTTACCTGTCAGTCAAAGCATAACAATAAGAACTTTCCTACCCCTACTGTAAACTATCCAGTAAAAAATTAGACAGTATCACCAAAAGTGTGATTACCTCTGCCAAGGAGGTTGTTTTCACCCCTGTTTGTTTGTTTGTTTGTTTGTTTGCTTGTTTGTCTGTCTGTCTGTCTGTCATCAACATAACTCAAAAAGTTATGGACCGATTTTGATGAAATTTTCAGGAACTGTCAGAAGTGGGCCAAGGAACAGATGATTAGTTTTTGGTGGTGATCCGGATCAATAATCAATCAATAATAAAAAATTGCTGCCTTGGCGGACCTCTGCGCTCTCGGAGTGCTTTTCTAGTTATCATTGTTCTTATAGGCAGTAGGAGATAGTTTGAAAGAAGTCCTCCTGAGACACTGAAGCAGACCAGACATACACTAGACCAGTGTAACTGAAATATTAAATTAACTATTTTTATTGTTGAACTACAGAAGAGTCCAGTTTTGCTCTATGTAACACCAATAGGTATGCCAAGGCCTGCATTGGTTCCAAGTTGCATTTTATGACTGCTTAGGACCATATATAAAATAACATACTGTAGATAGAAAATAAACCAGTATTGTTGTAATGAGAGAAATAGTATCTTTGCCTGGGAGATGTTCTTTTATATTACAGATGGTATGACAATGGGCTGGAAGTTCACAGGGTCAATAGTTGTGGCAGTGGTCGCTGTCTTTGTGTATTGGAAGGTGTTCTCTGGTCCATCAAGAATTGTTGAAATCTTAGATGAGGAGTATGATTATATCATTGGTAAGAAGAATGCTTAGACTTACATAGCTTATAAAATATCGGTGACTGAATATGATCTCTCTCTCTCTCTCTCTCTCTCTCTCTCTCTCTCTCTCTCTCTCTGCATTTTAATTTATTAGCCATCTCCATTTTTAAAAAACAAGCTGATGTTATTTGAATTATAGTTTTCTCTTGATAGGGCTACACTGATTTTATTTTAAGGATTTTAAGTGATTTATTGTTAGAGACCAGTTACTTTAAGATTCCCCAGCAGATTGAAAAAGTGAAATCTGTAGCTGTGTACATAAATTCAGTTGCCATTCTAAATTTATCCAAAAATCAAACAAAGGTACAAAAGCATCTTTCACTTCCTGCACAGAACTATTTGAGGGCATACCTGTGAATTAATGTGTTTATTATATATTTGGGAGAAAAGCTTTTACAGGTACACTTTCAAAAGTTTTTGTAAAGAGTAAAAAGTTTAATTTTTTTTTCTCAGCATGATCCATTTGATTCTGTTGACTTGATAAACCCAAATGTTTTTGGCTATAACTTTCAAGCTCCCTCCACAGCATTTTCCTCATCATTGTATACTTGTATATAGTAAAACCAGATTTTTTTTAGTTGGTGCAGGATCTGCAGGCTGTGTGTTGGCCAACAGATTGTCTGAGGATTCAGATTCCAAAGTACTGCTAGTGGAAGCAGGAGGGGAGGAGAAATGGAACCTGTTGATTGACATCCCCTTGTTAACTCCAATGACACAACTCAGTGATATTGATTGGCAGTTTAAGACAGTTCCCCAGCAACATGCCTGCAAAGGAATGCATAACAATGTAAGGATAGCATGTGTTGTTTCTTTATTAGGTACAGTTGTATTTATACGTTGTAACTCAGATTACATTGGTCTTTATATTTTTTGTCACTATATGGACATGTCTTTTGTCTTTGTCTAGGAGACAGATAAGAAAAAAAAATATCTCACAAGGTTATAAAAATTTTCAGAATTCTGTAATTTCTGTCTGAAGCTTGATTGAATGTTACAGAAAGGTTGCATTAATAACTTTATCATACTAAAGTAGATCTGGTTTAAAAGCAGCTAACTACTCTATCTGGGTCACAGCAACAGAAAGCATAAAAATTAACATCTTAAATTTCATAATATGAAGATTATAATATATATTTCCAAGCAATGTCGGTGGCCAAGGGGTAAAGTCCTAGGGGGCAGCAGTTGTCTTAATTACATGATTTATATTCGTGGGAGTCGACATGACTTTGACCAATGGGCTGCCAGTGGCTGTGAAGGATGGGGCTACGATGACGTTCTTCCATATTTTATGAAATCTGAGGATAACACAAATGCAGAATATGCAAATTCAGGTGATAATACAGAAAAAAAAATTTTTTCAGTGAAAAGTTTAAAGTGCACTCTCCTAGTCTAGACAAGAAATAGATAAATGAACCCACAAAAATGCTTACCTTAGACTATTTGTAATTGGTATCATATTTTAATTTTATAGGAACCAGTGCCCTGTTTGCCTAAGGTGATTTTAGATTATCTTGTTTGTGGTATAGCACAAAATTGGTAGTAACTCACATAATTTGTTTTTAAGGTTTTCACGGTAAGGGAGGCCCTCTGACAGTGTCAGATTCCAACGTAACAGAACTGACATCTTATTTTCTTGAATCTGCCAAAGAGCTCAACTACCCAGTGATAGATGTCAATGGAGAGTCACAAATAGGTAAGTGCTGGTGCAATGGTAGTAGATCAATATGAACTGTGCCTTTGAAAAATACCAAATATTAGTACTAGCAGGTGTGTGGTAAAGAAGGAATAGCATGTCATTAAATTCAAAACTTTTAATTTAGACCCAAAAGTGTCAAAAGTTCAAATATTTTGAGAGTTGTATTCCAGAGTTCTAACTGCTTGCAAATTAAGGCCTTTTCCACAATTTTATCAACTAATTTACATATCATGCCATTTAACTTAACTTTTAAAACAAACAAGTTATAATTCAGCATAATTCATATATACATACTGCATATGACTGATAACCTAAAAAATTGATGTCCACAGGATTTATGCACTCCCAGGCCACTGTGAATAAGGGTGTGCGCCAAAGTACTGCTAAAGCTTTTCTACGACCAGCAATGGATAGAGAAAATCTCCACATATCCATCAAATCACATACAAAAAGGGTGAATATTCACTATCTATTTACTTTGCAAGAATGTGTGTGCATGTAAGTGTGTGTGTGTGTGTGTGTGTTCTCTAGGCTCAGTTGTAAGTGATATGTGGATGATGGATGTCAGTTTTAGCAATGTCAGAAACTGATGGTGCTGTATAAAACTGTCTTGAAGTGCTTTTCTTGGATATATCTTTTTATTCTCAGGTTCTGATTGAAAACAAGAAGGCAGTGGGTATAGAATTTATCAAGGATGGAACTCTCCGGAAAGTCAAAGCAAGAAAGGAAGTAATTCTGTCTGCGGGGTCAATTGGTTCACCCCACATACTGCTGCTGTCAGGTGTTGGGCCCAAAGAACATCTGAGAAAATTCCAGGTAAAAGAATTTCTACAGCTGTGGCTTAGTCTGGATAACTATCCCATCCTTTGGATTGAAGAAAGAAAATATTTTTAAGTATCAGTTGCTAGATTTGCAGTAGCAAAATTTAATTGGTTGAAAAGATTTTGCAATAAGCATGAAATAACAATACTATTATTGTTGGAAACCATGTATAATGTAATTGAATTGAACCTGCAGATATATTCAGTTCAACAAATAAGAATGAGAAAAAAAACATTACTAATCATTATTAGATCTCTCTCTCTGATCAGATGTAAATAAAGTCTACTGTATGTAGCAGTTATTATTATTATTATTACTATTATTACTATTATTATTATAAAATATTTATACACAGATCCCAGTAGAGGCTGATCTCCCAGTGGGTGAGAACCTAGAAGACCACATCATGACTGACATTGCCACGTTCCTAATTGATAAACCTCTGAGCATAACAGAGGACAAAGTGCTGTCTGTTTCTTCCTTTTTTGATTACCTGCTTTATGGTAAAGGTATGGTGTCTGAGGACAACATGTTTGTTTGTTTGTTTTTATCTGTATGTTTTGTGTTTCAAGCATTTTAAGTGCATAGCTGAGCATTGATTAAGGTCATCAGGGAGGGTTATAATTAAATTGGCTTTGCTGTATTCCTGCATTACCTGTTTATGACTGAGGTTTTTCAGCTGTCATGTTTTGCTAAAATTTAATATCATGTTGAAGAATACAGTTATTAATTATGAAGGATATAGAAATATTTGCCATGTATCAAATTACCCAGAAAATTGAATCAGTTTCTTGCTGATAAATATCTTATTTGACAGAAAATTGAATACACCTATTTGATGTTCAACAGTGACTGTTTTTTCATAAATGTAATTATCTTAAATATGTTCCGTTGTGTAAAAATTTCCAATAAAAAGGGTTGTAAAATCTGCTTTAGAAAGTGTCTTATTGGATCCAATAGGATTGTTAGATTAAATTGAATTACCTACCTGTTAGATTCCTATTTGATTCCTGTTGAAAATGATTTTAGTTATGTCCATTAAAGTTGAGTCAGTTTTTTTAAGTACAAATTTTCATGGGTTCATATAGGGAATAATATTCCATTTCTTTTATAGATGACTGTAGGTTTCCTATATAATTTTTTATTGGATCCAATAGGAAATTTTTTAAATAGCTGGTGTTTCTAGATTTTGTTCTAAGTCAAATTATGGATTGACCTTAATGTATGCTTAGCTATCTCTTTAAGTTGAAGTCAATTTCTTTAATTTGTCTTAGTTATAATCATCTTTATGTTTTCATCTTTTAAATTTTTCAATTTATAATTTTTTAGTCAGTCTTCACATTTTTAAGTGTATTTGTAATACTATGTTAAACTTTCTAACATTTTGTAGTAATTTTAATTGTTATTAAAAATGACCTTTTTTATACCTCTTAATACATATATAACCTTTGATAACCATATATTATGTACACTCTGCCTAATACATTAACCTTCTTCCATGTACATGCTTACACTCTAAGGGACCATTCCCAGACTCTATCGACTAACTATGGATCGATCTATCTCCAAGGGTATTCTTGCTAAAGTGCAATCAACTTAAGCAGCTTATATGTCTGTCATGCCTATCGAAGCTGCTAGGGGGTAATTAATTATCATTCAGCAGCTGCAGTTGGCGTGCCAGACATCAAAGCTGCTTAAGCTGAAAGCAATTTAACAAGAAACCCCTTGAAGATGGATTGATCCTGTTAGATCGATCTAGATATAGGAACACAGTCTAACTTGCATGTCTGATGCTGTTGGACTAAACTTGGCATCGGTACTGCATGATAACCTCAGTTTACCAAAAAAAAAAAAAAAAAACTAATAAATAAAACCAAGGCATTCTTCACCTTATCCACTTTGAGAGGTCCCAACAGAGCAAGAGGGATTTTTACTCCTTTACACAAGTTCATTTCTCCAAAAGTTCCCTCCCTAACTTGGCCATATCATGCAAAGGGCAGGGTCAGTTAAGGTGACTCTCTTACACAATAGGCTAGCTATTTAGTTGTCAATCTCTCAAAGTGCGTACAGGTCAAGATAAGTGTACCCTTCAATGTGAAAAGGGCCTTACTATACAGTTACGAAGTTATCTAATGTACACCATTCTTATGCTGTTGGCTGCAATTCCAGCTAACGTAAACACAACTAGCTTTTGTCAAATAGTGTCACCTGAAAAAAAAAATACATCATCTCCTCCAGAGTTTAATCCACAATGTATTAAAAATCCACTTTTGGCATGGGAGTATTGGATGTCCTTAACCAACTTGATCTCTGCTGAAACATTAAATTTAATAACTACTGACACTAAGATCATTTTTGTCACAACTTTCCATCAGTCCTATTGTCTGGGTATTCAAAATAATGTAACTGGGTATTTAAAATAACGTAACTGTAACCAACCCTTTTTTGCCTGGTTTCCAATGAAATAAACACAACAAATGATAATTAAAGATGCAGTGTATTTTTTAGTCTAAATGTTGCTGCCATAAATACCACATGAGAAACCATGAAGATGATTTAGAGCTCAAGTGCCTTCTGTTGTAGGTGTGATAGGGTCTAATGGTGTAGCAGGGAGTGGGTTTGCACCATTAAAACATGTCACTCTAGCTGGTGGCAAGAATCCTGAAGTAGAGCTATTCATGATATTAGGAACATACGGGAGCTCTGGAAAAAAAGATCTTAATCCCTTTTTTCAAGCAATGCATTTTAAACCAGAGGTACAAAGGTGTATGTTTATGGTAACACAGCATGGATGTTTTTTTTTTCCTCTGAGCAATTTGTTTGTCTACTTTGCCTCTTGTTACGTCAATTAAGGCTTATTGACAGATAAGTTTCCTAACCCCCTCTCTCTGGATGCATGCTTATTACAAGGCAGCTGGAATGGAAATTGCAATTACTTGATGTAACTATGTCCCTGGTTAATAATTGCATAGTGAATGTCTTTCAGTATTAGTTGTTTTTCTATGTATGTCACCAGAATTTCTCCGAGTTGATGCTGGAATTGTTCGTTTTGCACATTTCATGTCATGCTGTTGCTTTTTAATTTGCACTTTAACATGCTGGCATGACTCAAGGTACTAAACAAAATGTCACATAGATCAGCTTGTTTATAAATAGTTTTACTGGTCTTATTTGTTGGCATTTTCTGCATTTAGCATATTTTGATGTATTTCAATCACCTTCAAAAAGAAGGCAAATGTTTGCACATCAGTTGGAAATAGTTAATCCACTAGCTATAGCCTAGGTGGTTGAGAAGTCAAGTTGCAGTGATATAAAAAAAGTCACCATTATGCTTTTGCATTCTTTTAAATGCTGTGTCTTTTCTTTCATTATTTTTTATTTATTCATTATTATTATTTTGATTTTTCCTGTACTCTAATGCTGCTATAGAAATCTGTTAATATCTGACAAACAGTGTGAAAATAGGCCTAATGAGGTTTTATACTAAAAGTATAACCTTCTGTTTTTATTGCCCTTATAAATAACAGGCTATTTTATGTGGGTGGCTTCTTGATCTATTTTTATATTTAGGATATGATCTTGAATCCATGTCTGGTTCTCCTCTTATTCAAGGGTTGTTTACCTCTATTGCCGGTGTGGATGGTCTTGCCTTTGTCCATTTAACAGAGTTATCACTCAGAGCTGTCCCTTCAACAGAGCTGATGTTTGGTGTTAGTTTAGTTGGTGCAGATAGCTATAGTAAAGGGATGTTTATAAGCCTGCTTGGTCTACAGCAGGGGGTAATATTCTCTTTTTTTTTTTCACTTTTGCCAATTAGATGTAATATGTACTAATTGCCTCTAGTCTTTTTTTTTCAAAAAGTTTTATTAAACTTCTAGATATGTATATAATACTATAATACAAAAAAATGCAAAAGAAAAAAATGCAAAATACCTAACTGAAAACCTCTTTCACACACACACACACAAACTCATTTGTTAAATACATGCATGTATTAAATGTCTAACAGTATAGTGCAAAGGCATATTTCAGGCACGTATTACATATGACATTGCCATGTATAAACTTTATGCGCCCATATTAGAAGCTTATTACACCTTTGCAAAAACATAAGCATCTTAATTTACAGGTCAATATTAAAAACATTGCAAAATATAAGCACACAGCTTACTTGAAATAACTGAAGCATGAAACTGTCTTGATTCTACTTAGAAACTAGTTTCTGCTGTAGATTATATTTTTGGAATCATTCTGCCTTAAGACTTCATATAATCTGTACTTACTTTTTGTGGCTAAAAAGGGGCTTAGATTCTTATATTCAATATAAAGGGCACAAAACCCCTCTGAGGGTATGGTTTTTAGCAGGTCTGTTACATTTAGGGTGGCATTCAACCAGTGGGATTGATGGGATTGCATTTTTGAAGAAAGCCAGACAACCTTCTGAAATAGTACCAAGTTTGCAGTTGTTTATGTTCATGGGACATGCTGGGGTGACATCTAAAACAGATGTTCCCAAATTAACAAATATGGCTAAAGAGGTAAAAATGACAATATCATAGGATAGTCCTCATATCAGACACATATTTGTTAATTCCCTATCAAAAATAACCAGATCCAGTTCAATATAAGAGTTAGGTACATTTAAAACCTGATAATATTTTTTATAAAATTATTTTTTCAAATAATTAATTCATTTTGTGCGTATGTATCTAATTTTTCTAGGCCTATAATGCCACGAAAAGTCTCATTTTTAAGCATCCTATGTTGCACTTAATTTGACTGCACTCTGAATAACCATATAAAATGATAATACCTCAAGAGAATACTATAAATGAAGATAATTTTCTTGAACTTTGCTTAGAAAAAGATTACATAACTAAATCATATTTTTTTCTGTGGATAATAAAGGTAAAAACAAATCTTTATTTCATTTTTCATAATTCATATACCAGTGTATTTTAACACTGGAATTAAACATGTGAAGTGTTTCACCTTTGAACATTTGATCAGACTAGTCTTGCTTTACATGTGTAGATTCTATAATCTGTTTTGTGGAGTTTCTGTAGCATTTTGTGAGAACGAGGCTGTTAGTGTATAGAGACTGTATTAACTATTTATAAGACTACTGAGTACAAATAAGTTAATTCAATTAGATTTATTCCTGTACTGCTACATACATTTTTATGATCTTGATACATTACACTTTATGCAAATCGGAGTAAATATGTCCATACCTTAAGTTAAACAGTTAGTATAATGTAAAGGACAAGGATAAGACAACAATTGATAACATCTCCCATGTTATGACATGAGGTCATAATTGTTATCATTTTTATGAAGGATGTCATTATATGGAGTCTCCTTGTTGCTTGCAAAATTACAATATTGTTTCTTTTTCATTCTAAACCCCAAATATTTCAGGCCAAATATAATTTAAAGTGAGTTTTATGCACAGAAAAGCCTCTCACCTAGAGTTTCGTGTTTTCCTACAAGCTTCTTCAGAAACTCT